TTCAAATTCCTCATGAGCACAATTAAGTGTTCCTGAATACCTGTTCTTCTCAGTGTTATCTGTAGTTTATGATCCACAGAGTCAAATGTATTTATTTGCATAGCCAGTAAGGTAACCGTCTTTCTGGTATTCTCTGCTTTCAGTTAAGATCCATCTGACATCAGTATAATATCCCTCAATCTATTTCCTCTTCTGAATCCAGCTTAAATTTCTAGCAGCTCCCTGTCACTGTCCTGTTCCACCATTTATAAATTGCCTTCAGTAAAATTTTACTTGCATATGATATTAATGATATTGTTCGATGACTTCCTCATTCCATTGGGTCACCTTTCTATGGAATGAGCACAAATATGGATCTTTTCCAAATTGGCCGGGCAGCTGTCTTTCAAATTTCTTGGCAAAGACTACTGGGTGCCACATCAGTTTATTGAAACGGATCATTAAGAAGGCAGGAAAGAAAGAAAACACAAAAATGGATGTCCCAGGAGACTCTGAAACTTGCTCTTGTATATAGATAAGCTAAAGTAAATGGAAGAAATAAGGAAGCAAAAGAATCAAACAGAAAATTTCAAAGGGCAGCTCAGAAGACAAAGTCAAGTATTATAATGAAGTGAGCAAAGACCTGGAGTTATAAAACCAAAAGGGAAAAACACACTCATCATTTCTAAAGTTGAAGGAACTAATGAGAAAATTCAAGCCTTGGATTGCTAATTGAAGGATTCTATGGGCAAAGTCCTGGTGTGGTGCTGTAAGATAAGCACTTGACTGCTAGCCACAAGGTTGGCAGTTCAAACCCATCAGTCGCCCCTTGGAAACCCTATTCAGGGTCACTATGAGTAAGAATTGACTCAACAGCACTTAACAACAACAACATGGGCAAAATACTGAATGATTCAGAAAGCATCAAAAGAAGATGAAAGGAATACACAGAGTCTGTGTACCAGAATGAATTAAAGGTCAACAACTGCAAGAGGTAGCCTATGATCAAGAACCGACAGTACTGAGGAAGACGCCCAAGCTGAACTGAAGACATTGGTGAACAACAAGACTCCAGGAATTCATGGGATACAAAAAAGCACCCAGTAGGATATGAAAAATGAGGATGTGAGCAAATGGAACAATATGCTTCAGAAAGCCTGTTATTTTCCCTTTATCTTGTACATCTTGGAAATCGTTGCACCTGTAGATAGGTTGCATTACCAGAATCCTTGGACAATCTAAACTCATGTTATGAAAATGGTAGTGTGACATGAGAGGTCTTCTAACTTCACAAGGTCGAGGAGAATACAGTCAACATTGGACCAAGGCTGGTTCCTGATGAAGTGAAGGTCAGATAAATAAGAGGACTTCAAAACGTTCATGGAAAAATTCTATTATCTTTTCATTCCATTTTTTCATGAATGCCCCTCATACCTCCACCGCCAACCCTTTTTTTGTTTTGTTTTTTAACCAATTCTGATACCAGCAGTCCCTCACACAGCACTTCTCTGTGGGGTTTGACAATTCAATGCAATGGCTCCCAAAGAATTCACAGACCACCCTCCTAGTTATGCGGTTGATTAGGGAAGTAAATAGGACATGCTTCCTAGATCCTTTCTTGATGATAATGAGATCCACCTCTCTACTTCTGGGATTAACTCCCTTTATGTCTAGCAGGATGTCAAAAATATCACCTTGGTTAGGGTTGCATACAACTTATTTGCATAGCCCCAACCACAGTCTTGGTGTGGCGCTGTGGGCTAATGCGTCAGACTGCAAAATCGTTTCAACTGCAAGGTCGGTGGTTCAAGCTCACCAGATGCTCCTTGGAAATCCTATACAGGGTCGCTATGGGTCAGAATCAACTCGATGACACTTAACAACAACAACAACCACACAAGGGTGCCATGAAACTATCTGCATTATTTGCAAGCTGTTCAATCTCCTTGGTGGGCCACAAACACGATCTGTACAGTCCTAGCTAATCATTTTGTGGAAGTTACCAGATCACGCATAGCTGAAAGAGCAAAATAAAAAAATTCCCTCCATCCACCATTCTTGTTGTTGTTAAGTGCTGTTGAGTTGGTTCCGACCTATAGCGACCCTGTACAGGGTTTCCGTGACTGTAAGTCTTTACGGGAGCAGAAAGCCTCATCTTTCAACATCCTATCAATTAATTCTCTCCAATATTCAACCTTAACCTATACCCTTTCTTGTAATTCAAACCAAAAGTCAGTTTTAGAAAAGCTCAAAAGAGATGTATTATAAAATGTTAAACAAGAATTTCCCAAAGATGTTGTTGTTGTTGTTGTATGCCATGGAGTCGGTTCCGACCCACAGCGACCCTGTACAGGGTTTCCGAGGCTGTAAATCTTTACGGGAGCAGAATGCCTCATCTTTCTCCCATGGAACAGCTAGTAGTTTCGAACTGCTGACCCTGAGGTTAGCAGCCCAATTCGTAACCACTATGCAAAGATATCAAAGCTTAAATGGAAATCAAAGTTGCTGCAGCCTAATAAGAGGAACAAAACCAGGCCTTCTACTCTGTAAAGCAGCAGCCCTTTACTCATCTGAGGAGTCATTTCTCTCATTAACAAGAGCCTAAAAAAGGGTCAGTCCCTCTTTCAAATTTATATTAGTGAAAAATATATACAACAAAACATACATCACTTCAACAATTCCTACATGAGTAATTCAGTGACATTGGTTACATTCTTCAAGTTGTGCAACGTTTCACAACATCCTTTTCCAAATTATTTCACCATCATTAACACACAAACTCACTGAACTACAGCTTCTCATCTAACCTTGGAATTTCTGTGGTCAATTTGATAGCATATAGTGAATTCTTGGGAGTTCTGGTGTGGCACTGTAGGATAAGCACTGGACCATAAGGTCAGAGGTTCAAACCCACCAGCCACTCCTCAGAAACCCTATACAGGGTCACTATGAGTTGGAACCACCTCCATGGCAGTTAACAACAACAGCAAATTTCATGACCCATTGACATAAAGTACCCACCTACATTTTTCATCTCTGGGGTTTATTGGGAAGCTTCTATCCCACTTTTAGTACACACTGCCTTCTGGTGGGGGCCTGTATAACTGTGTGAATCTGAATAAATGCGTATCATCCCACTAGCCCCAACACCAGAGAATCTTTGGGACATATGTATTCCATTGTTGTTGTTAAGTGCCTGGAGTTGGTTCCACCGACTCATAGTGACCCTGTGTAGGGTTTCAGAGGAACAACTTATGAGTTTGAACTGCCAACCCTGAAGTTCAAACCAATCTTGCAGTCCACTGCTTATCCTACAGCGCCACACCAGGGCTCCATATATGTGTCCCATTAATTGTATCAAAATCTGCATTACTTCCAAAAAAAAATTTTTTTTCATACAATTCAAAATGCCTTTCATTCCTAAAAACACATGATTCAACAAAAAGAAACTCAAAGCAGAAAATAATTTGGTCTTGAAATGGTTAAAACAAAACACCGCTCAAGGGATCAGCCCCTCTTGATTAATACTAGTGGAACCAGCCATACAAAGGGGCAAGGAGGAAAACAAAGGACAAAAATAGAGACACAAGAGTGACAAGTGATTAAGTGTTCTAACCAGCTGTCCTAAAGGCCATTTACCAGTACCCTTCAATCTGAATTCTCCTAATCTAAGCTCTGGTAGCATAGTGGTTATGATTTGGGCTGTGAACCTCTGGATCAGCAGTTTGAAACTACCAGTTGTTCCGTGGGAGAAAGATGAGGCTTTCTGCTCCCGTAAAGATTTACAGCCTCGGAAACCCTGTACAGGATTGCTATGTGTCGGAACCGACTCCATGGCACATAAAAACAAAAACAACAAACAAATCTTGGCACTGCAGGTTAATGCACTGGACTACAAGGTCAGTTTGAACCACAAGGACAGCTGTTCAGGCTCAACAGCTGCTCCTCAGAAACCCTATACGGGGTCGATATGAGTTGGAAGCAACTTGACGGCACTTAACAACAACAGCAATCGTCTGGGTTAAGGTATCAAAGTCCAATCATCTTCAGTACTTCTAAAACTCCCCAAGCCCAGTGGGTACTTCACACCAATTAAATCAGAAGCCCTGGCTTCAGGACCCCCAGCATGAGAAATTTTCAAACTCCTCAAATGATTCCAATGTGCAGCCTAGGTTGAGATCCAGTGCCTTAAATTAGTTTATCCTTGAATGAGAAGAGAGCAGCAAAAATAATATGGATTCTGAAGTGGGGCTGTAGGATCCGCACTGGACTGCGAACCACAAGGTCTGCAGTTAAACCCACCAGTTGCTTCTCAGAAACCCTATCTATACGGGTTGCTACGAACCAGAACCCACTCCACGGCACTTAACAACAACAAACATGCAGTCCTGGTGTAGCACTGGAGAATAAACACTGGACTGCTAACCACAAATTGGCAGTTCAAACCCACCCGCTGCTCCTTGGAAACCCTACACAGGGTTGCTTTGGTCAGAACTGACTCAACAGCACTCAACAACAACAAAGGACATACACCCCCTATTCAAACACAGCCAGCCCAAATGCAGTTTTCCCAAATGGCAGTTTTGTGTCATAGATCGAGCGACAAGATCAAGAATGAAATACAGTCCTTATTGTCCCATCTTGAGGAGTGAGGATGCAAAAAAAGCTGTTACATTTAATAACCTACGGCTTTCTCTAATATTACAACCTGGACCGAGTTCAGATCTGGGAACAACTCTTTACCCATGTAAGGTTTAGCTTTGGAGGCTGCAGGGAAGCGCCTTATACACTTCTTTCCACTGACTTTCATGGGATCCTGACCCGAGTGGGATTAGTCCCCAGATGCGGAGTGGGAAAGAGGAAAGAGCTGCCTTGGGATCCCATCCTCAAGGCCTGGGTAAATGGGATCTCTTTAGGAAAGAGGCCGTGCTGTTGCTGAAAAATCGGAGAGAAAACGAGGCTGCAGGACTAGCACTGCAGAAACAAATGCGGAAGAAAGCTCAGTGGGACCTGGTACTCACGCAAGTGCCGCCCAGTTTGTGGCTCTCCACTACCGCGGCCCTGGCGCCAAGCTCTGCTGCCCGGCGCGCACTGGCCAGCCCGCCGGAGCCGCCCCCGATCACCAGATAGTCGTAGGAGGTCACAGCGCCTGCGGTAGGCGGCGGGCACCGAGGCTGGGGCTGCGGCTTGCTCGCCATGGCGCGGAGGAAGCCGTGCGGGAAGTCTGCGGGTCCGGGATACCGCAGCAGGAAGCCGAGAGAGGCATGCGCCGTCCGCCACCAGCTCGGCCCCGCGCTCACGCTGAGGGCCCGGGGCAGCAGGGCCATATACGCGGAAGTGCAAGGCAGGCGGGGTGGTGCCCCGGGGCGGATCCCCAGGGAAGGAGGGGGCGCCAGCCCCGGGCAAACGCACGCTCACCGTGACTAAGCACCAGGCTAGCGGGCAGAGGGAAAGGGACTCCCAGCCGCGGCTCTGCCGGGGCGGAAGGCGGAAGAGAGGGCGCACGCAGGAAAAAGCGGGCCGCCTCCCTGCCCCGCCTGCCTTGGAACCAACCAGTGGGCCTGCAAAGCGTGCTGTAGCCCGCGGCACTGCCCAAAATGAAGGCCAAGAGCTGGCAGGATTTGTTGGCCCATATCTTCACCCCAGCACTTGCATATGGGATCTACCTCACAGTGGTTTCTGAAGGCCTGTGGGATGAGGAAAGGTGAACACCATCTGTTTCGCCCTGCTTTTCCTGAATGGGCACCAGCTTTTCCAGAAAGGATCATTTGTCCTCATTGTTTTTTTCATTGATGTTTATTAAAATTTTATTTGCAGCCCATCTGGAATGCTTACTCTGGTCCTAACCCAAATCTATTGACCAAGAATGTCTCGGGGGTAGGACACAGAATCCAAACTTTAAACAACATGCTTCTAGGCACGCCCCCGCCTCCCTTATCAGCTGATTCTTAAGCACATTTAGATAGAAAAACACTGAAATAATGGGTTTAATTTGAGTAAACATTTTTATGAGTTCTGGTAATCTAGTGGTTATTAATCGGGCTGCGAACCTCAGGGTCAGCAGTTCGAAACTAACAGCTGTTCTGCAGGAGAAAGATGAGGCTTTCTGCTCCCGTAAAGATTTACAGCCTCAGAAACCCTGTACAGGGTCACTATGAGTTGGAACCGACTCCATAGCACATAGCAACAACAACAGATTAAACAGTAATAGACTTACCAAGAACATTTTTCTCCCAAGCTAAGGTGCTCTGGTAGTGTAGTGGTTACGAATCGGGCTGCGAACCTTAAGGTCAGCGGTTCGAAACTACCAGCTGCTCCGCGGGAGAAAGATGAGGCTTTCTACTCCCGTAAGAATTTACACCCTCGGAAACCCTGTACAGGGTCGCTATGGGTCGGAACCGACTCGACGGCACTTAACAACAACAACAACATAGAGACAGGAGTTTTACTTTGGAATATCTGGAACTAACAACTACACAGGAAAGGAGCTAAAAAAGGTTTTGAATTTATGTGGTGATAGGTCACAGTCCTGTGTCCATAATTCATAGATGTCACTTGAGCACAAGGCTAGCCCCATGAGCCGGGGAGCGAAAATTCTGGTCACAGAGAAGCCAGGCCGATCCCATTAGGGGAAAATGATAATCCACCATGCTCCAATCAGAATGCGATCCAGTATTACTTAAGCATTTGTTCCCCTCAACTCCCACCCCCTCCCCCATTAAAAAGTAATACAGGGAAAGAAGGGAGTTTTCTTTCTTTCAATGATGGTGGTGGTGGTGGTGTGTGGTGGCTTCGGTTCTGACTCATAGCCACCCTGCACAAGATTTCCAGGACTATAAATCTTTATGGGAGCAGAAAACCTCATCTTTCTCCATGGAACTGCTGGTAGTTAAAGGAGCTCTGGTAGCGTAGTGGTTATGAATCGGGCTGCGAACCTTAAGGTCAGTGGTTCGAAACTACCAGCTGCTCCGCGGGAGAAAGATCAGGCTTTCTACTCCCGTAAAGATTTACACC